GACATCCCAGATGTAAAACATCGCAGGTGCTGCTTCTGTGCATTAGAAGTCAGAGAGAGCGCCTCATTTTCTGGCTGGAGGACGTCCAGCATCTTCTAGCTCTTTCCTCCCCAGCCTGCCCCGCCCTTTTTTCATTCATTGGATTTCAGTTCTTTCAATCATGGAGGCTCAGCACCACATGTGGGCGTTACCTATGCAAATACTAGGAACGCCCACTCCCTCCAGACTCCCACCCGGGCAGTTTGATATTTGCATAACTCCTCCCACTGCTCTCATCAGGGTTGATGTGTCATCAATTCTTCCAATCATGGATGTTCAGCACCACATGTGGGCGTTACCTATGCAAATACAGCCCTCCTAGGAACGCCCACTCTTCCAGATGATGTGTCATCATTTCTTCCAATCATGGAGGGCAATCTGCTTCTGCTGGCACCCATCCATTTGATATTTGCATAACTCCTCCCGTAAACCTGCCCACTGCCACAGAGGAGTGCTGAGGCAGGGTGCTGCAATGTTTTCAGTACAACCCCCTGCCAGCCCCTCCCACCAGCTACGATCTGCCTGTGTTGCCTAGAAAAGCACAGAGACCCAGTGATGACATCACCAGGACTACAATACGGTATGTAGTAAATTGGGAAAGGAGCCCTTCCAGGAGCCAGTCCACTGATTGCAGCAGGACTGAGGAAGGACGCTGGGATGTATTCAGGAAACTAGGGCCCCCAGCCGGCCCCTCCCACCAGCCACAATCTGCCTGCATTGCATAGAGAAGCACAGAGAAAAACTGCCTATCTGTCTCAGGGCGGTAGATATATATTATTTTTTTAACTGAGCAAAGGGGGGGTCAACCGTGGGGGGGGGGGGGGGTGTCACCTGTGGGGGGGCACTCAGAGAATTATTAAGGCTAGTTGAGTGAACTTTGGGTGTGGCAAAATTACACCTAGCAGTGGGAGGGGCTTCCATCGTGAGCATGCTCACTGTGTAACGTAGCACAGCCATGAGATTTCCACATCAGTAATTATTACTACAATGTGATGCTTTCATTACAACCGGCTCCTCCCCTCCAGTCTGGCACAGGTGTACCGGCTCCTCCCCTTCAGTCTGGCACAGGTGTACCGGCTCCTCCCCTTCAGTCTGGCACAGGTGTACCGGCTCCTCCCCTTCAGTCTGGCACAGGTGTACCGGATCCTCCCCTTCAGTCTGGCACAGGTGTACCGGATCCTCCCCTTCAGTCTGGCACAGGTGTACCGGCTCCTCCCCTTCAGTCTTGCACAGGTGTACCGGCTCCTCCCCTTCACTCTTGCACATGTGTACCGGCTCCTCCCCTTCAGTCTTGCACAGGTGTACCGGCTCCTCCCCTTCAGTCTTGCACAGGTGTACGGGCTCCTCCCCTTCAGTCTTGCACAGGTGTACCGGCACCTCCCCTTCAGTCTTGCACAGGTGTACCGGCTCCTCCCCTTCAGTCTTGCACAGGCGTACCGGCTCCTCCCCTTCAGTCTTGCACAGGTGTACCTGCTCCTCCCCTTCAGTCTTGCACAGGTGTACCGGCTCCTCCCCTTCAGTCTTGCACAGGTGTACTGACTCCTCCCCTGGACTGGAACGGCTTCCTCTGATGTCACTGCACACTGGGAGGGTATTCATTAGAAGCTGCAGCCAGTCACACAGAGCTCCGCCCCATTTCCTGGCTGGAGGACATCCAGCATCATCTAGCGCTTTCCTCCCCGGCCTGACTGGCCCTGGCCCCGCCCCTTTCATTCATTGGATTTCAGCTCTTTCAGCCATGTAGGCTCAGCATCACATGGGGGTGTGACTTATGCAAATACATTGCGTCTGGGAAACACCCATTCCTTCAGATTGATACCTACCCACCTAGGCATTCTTATATTTGTATAACTCCGCCCACCGATTGCATCAGGACTGAGGGCTCTTGGGAGGAGTACTCCGGAGGAACCTTTCATGACTAGAGGAACCACTAGAGGGCGCTGCTTTCAGCCCCCTCCCAGCTCCTCCCACCCGCCATGATCTGCCTGAATTGCATAGAGAAGCACAGAGATGGTATGGACTTCTGTTAAATGAAGTCGCGAGCCGCAATAAAATCGCATTCGGTCGTGAACCAGTTCTAAATGGGACAATATTGCACCACTTTGAATTCACTTTTGGTCGTGAACCATAGCTAAATGGGACCATTCGCGGCACTTCGAAATCGCATTCGGTCGTGAACCAAATCGCATGCCAAATTGCACCCGATGTGACCAGGTGCTAAATGTCGGTGTCTCAACACGTGCGATTTGCTGCAGCGCGATTTCTAAAGTCATTCTTGTGTTTTCTTTTCTGCATTTTTGTTGCGATTTCAGATTCATAGAATGGAAATCGCTCTGCAAATCGCAAGAAATCGTTGAAAATCTTCACAAGTCGCAATAAAGTCTTCAGAAATCGCGCTGAAATTGCACAGAAATCGCAGCCAGTGTGACCGGCGACTTCACCCCGGTCACAATAAAGCTGTCATTGCAGACAATAGGGTGTGCGACTTGCATGGCATGCGACTTCCAAATCGCATGGCGTGCAAATCGCATGCCAATTTCACCGGGTTGCAATTGCCGGTCACACGGGTGTGATTTCAAAGTGGCGCAAATGGCGACCGGTCACACCGCTGCGACTTGTGCACAATTTCAGGTGCGATTTGAATTCCCAAACCGCCCCTGAAATGAATGTCCGCGTCCGTTCTTTTGAATGGAAAAAAGACCTTCTTCTGTAAAGAAAAAACAGAACAGATGACAAACGGATGGAAACGGACATACAGTGCATTTTTGCGTCCGTTTTTGTGTCTGTTTTTGCGTCCATTTTTGTGTCTGTTTTTGTGTCCATTTTTGCGTCTGTTTTTGTGTCCGTTTTTGCGTCCATTTTTGTGTCCTTTTTTTGTGTCCGTTTTTGCGTCTGTTTTTGCGTCCGTTTTTGCATCCATTTTTGTGTCCATTTTTGCGTCCATTTTTGCATCTGTTTTTGCGTCCATTTTTGCGTCTATTTTTGCGTCCATTTTTGTGTCCGTTTTTGTTTCCGTTTTTGTATCCATTTTTGCGTCCATTTTTGCATCTGTTTTTGTGTCCATTTTTGCGTCTGTTTTTGCATCCATTTTTGTGTCCGTTTTTGCATCCATTTTTGCATCCATTTTTGCGTCTGTGTTTGCGTCCGTTTTTGCATCCATTTTTGTGTCCGTTTTTGCGTCCATTTTTGTGTCCGTTTTTGCGTCTGTTTTTGTGTCCGTTTTTGTGTCCGTTTTTGTGTCCATTTTTTGCGTCCATTTTTGCATCCATTTTTGTGTCCGTTTTTGTGTCCATTTTTTGCGTCCATTTTTGCATCCATTTTTGTGTCCGTTTTTGCGTCCATTTTTGCATCCATTTTTGTGTCCGCTTTTGCGTCCATTTTTGTGTCCGTTTTTGCATCCGTTTTTGCGTCCATCTTTGCGTCCATTTTTGTGTCTGTTTTTTGTGTCCGTTTTTGTGTTCGTTTTTGCGTCCATTTTTGCTTCCATTTTTGTGTCCGTTTTTGCATCCATTTTTGCGTCTGTTTTTGTGTCCATTGTTGCGTCCGTTTTTGCATACATTTTTGTGTCAGTTTTTGCATCAGTTTTTGTGTACATTTTTGCGTCCATTTTTGCGTCCGTTTTTGCGTCCATTTTTGCGTCCATTTTTGCGTCAGTTTTTTGTTCCATTTGCGTCCATTTTTGCGTCCATTTTTGTGTCCGTTTCTGCGTCCAATTTTGTGTCCGTTTTTGCGTCCAATTTTGTGTCCGTTTTTGCGTCCATTTTTGCATCCATTTTTGCGTCCGTTTTTGCGTCCATTTTTTGCATCCATTTTTGCGTCAATTTTTGTCCATTTTTGCATTGGTAAAGGATGTAAAAACAAAGTAAAAACTGATAAGAAATGGGTCTGTTTTTTTCTTTGACACCCGAAAAGGTCCTGAGCCGTGACATCCAGTAGAGGGCAGTGTTGTCCAGGTGAACAGTCGCACCCATCGCCAGGATCGCAGGGCTTGTGGCGGGGGCCCACCTGGTGGTTGTCATTGGTGGAGCTCAGCGGACGCCGCGAGGCGGGATAAGAGCAGGTTTAGTCCTGGCACAGGAGGACGGCTGGCACATGTCAGGTATTTATCGGAGGATTTGGCTTTCTCTTGGCATCGTCGCTCGGATTAAGCGGATCAACGAGGAGAAGAAAGGAGAGGCAGACGGGAAAACCGACAAAAGAAAAATGTAAAAAACGAAAAAAGGTGCCGCTTACCGGGCTTACGGTACATAAAGGGGGCCTCAGATCTGCCAGACGGGACAGCCGGGAGGCAAAACAGGGACACTGGAACTCAATCGGGGAAATGATGACACGGGTCAGTGCTCACCGTAGGCCCGCTATTGCTGGATAGGACAGCTATTCTCTATGGAGTCCGGGGGCTCATCAGTGGTTCCTCCAGTGGTCATTAGAGGTTCCTCTTGCCATTAGGGGTTTGTCCTGTCATTAGGGGTTCCTCTAGAGGTCATTAGTGGTGTTTCCTGTCATTAGAGGTTCCTCAAGAGGTCATTAGGGGTTTCTCCAGTCATTAGGAGTTCCTTCATGGGTCATTAGAGGTTCCTCTTGCCATTAGGGGTTTGTCCTGTCATTAGAGGTTCTTCTAGAGGTCATTAGAGGTTCTTCTAGAGGTCATTAGGGGTTTCTCCAGTCATTAGGGGTTCCTCCAGGGGTCAGTAGGGTTTTCTTCAGTCATTAGGGGTTCTTCCAGGGGTAATTTGGGGTTCCTCCAGTCATTAGGGGTTCCTCCAGTCATTAGAAGTTCCTCCAGGGGTCATTAGGGGTTTGTCCTATCATTAGGGGTTCCTCTAGAGGCCATTAGGGGTTTGTCCTGTCATTAGAGGTTCCTCAATAGGTCATTAGGGGTTCCTCCAAAAGTCATTAAGGGTTTCTGCAGTCATTAGGGGTTTCTCTAGTCATTAGGGGTTCCTCCAGGGGTCAATAGGGTTTTCTTCAGTCATTAGGGGTTCTTCCAGGGGTCATTTGGGGTTCCTCCAGTCATTAGGGGTTCCTCCACTCATTAGAAGTTCCTCCAGGGGTCATTAGGGGTTTGTCCTATCATTAGGGGTTCCTCTAGAGGCCATTGGGGGTTTGTCCTGTCATTAAAGGTTCCTCAATAGGTCATTAGGGGTTCCTCCAAAAGTCATTAAGGGTTTCTGCAGTCATTAGGGGTTCCTCTAGAGGTCATTAGGGGTTCCTCTAGAGGTCATTAGGGGTTTGTCCAGTCATTAGAGGTTCTTCTAGAGGTCATTAGGGGTTTCTCCAGTCATTAGGGGTTCTTCCAGGGGTCATTTGGGGTTCCTCCAGTCATTAGGGGTTCCTCCAGTCATTAGAAGTTCCTCCAGGGGTCATTAGTGGTTTGTCCTGTCATTAGAGATTCCTCCAGAGGTCATTAGGGGATTCTCCAGACATTAAAGGTACCTCAATAGGTCATTAGGGGTTCCTCCAAAAGTCATTAAGGGTTTCCGCAGTCATTAGGGGTTCCTCTAGTCATTTAAGGTTCCTCAGGAGGTCTTGAGAGGTTTGTCCAGTCATTAATGGTTTCTCTTGTCATTAGCGGTTCCTGCAAAAGTTATCAGCGGTTTCTCCAGTCATTAGGGGTTCCTTCAGGGGTCATTAAGGGTCCCTCTAGTCATTAGGTCTTCCTCCAGGGGTCATTAAGGGTCCCTGTAGTCATTAAGGGTTCCTCCAGGGGTAATTAGGGTTTCCTCTAGTCATTAGAGGTTGCCTTGGTCATGATGGGTACCTCCACTCATTGAAAGTTAATTTGATCATTAGGAGTTGGAGGATCTCTATATATTAGGAGGAACCCCTAAAAACATCTGGAGGAACCCTAAATGACTAGAGGAACCCCTACTGACTGGAACCCCTAATAACCTCTTGAGGAACCCCTTATGACCTCTGGAGGAACCCATTATGACTGGAAGGTTAGAGTTTACATCAACTTTCAGGATCATTTGAACTGTGAAGGCCTGACCAGTAATACGTCTCAGGATGGATGATCCCCATGATCCCCTATTGCCCGAGGGCCCGGGGTCAGTAGTGGCCCCCATGAGATGCCCCTGGTACCTTTCATAGGCTTTTTTGGGTGTGGTTTGAGTGTGGGCGAGAACACAGGGACCCCATGATCCCCTATTGCCCGAGGGCCCGGAGTCAGTAGTGGCCCCCATGAGGTGCCCCTGCTACCTTTAATAGGCTTTTTTGGGTGTGGTTTGAGTGTGGGGAAGAACACAGGGACCCCATGATCCCCTATTGCCCGAGGGCCCGAGGTCAGTAGTGGCCCCCATGAGATACCCCTGATACCTTTCATAGGCTTTTTTGGGTGTGGTTTGAGTGTGGGCGAGAACACAGGAGCCCCATGATCCCCTATTGCCTGAGGGCCCAGGGTCAGTAGTGGCCCCCAAGAGATGCCCCTGGTACCTTTTTATAGGCTTTTTTGGGTGTGGTTTGAGTGTGGGGGAGAACACAGGGACCCCATGATCCTCTATTCCCCGAGGGCCCGGGGTCAGTAGTGGCCCCCATGAGATGCCCCTGGTACCTTTTTTATAGTCTTTTTTAATTTTGGTCAAGGACACAGGGGGCCCATGATCCCCTATTGCCAGAGGGCCCGGGGTCAGTAGTGGCCCCCAAGAGATGCCCCTGGTACCTTTCATAGGCTTTTTTGGGTGTGGTTTGAGTGTGGGGAAGAACACAGGGACCCCATGATCCCCTATTGCCCGAGGGCC